ACACACACACACACACACACACACACACACACACACACACACACACACACACACAGAGTCCGGCAAGATCATCCCTTTTTTATTTTTTTATTTTTTTTTGGGTCGGGTTCTGTACAGCGAACATGACAACACATGCACATACACCGTGGCGCGCGCACACATATACACGCGGCGAACACTGTTTCTGCGTTTCCGAGAATTTCTCTTCTCTCCCCATTTCTTCCTGTGTCTCTCCTTCTCTCCCCACTGAACCCCTCTCCCGCTCCCCATACCCACGCGTTTCCACGCTTCACCTCCTCAATCTCCCTCCTGTCGCTCCGACTTCGGATCGCGATGGACAGTTTTGTCGCGATTGCGATGTTCAGGAATGTTGCCATAACGCCCTAGTTTGACTGAACTAGTAAAAGATAAATAAGAAGAATCTGGTCCCTCATAAGTTAGACGATGGTCTACGGCACCCACGAAGACTCTAAATAGTCTACGGCACCCACGAAGACTCTCAATATAGGACACCCAGCCAATCGCAGACGGAGACCCACAAACCAAGCACCCGAGCATGCACTCGCTCAATCACACAACCACTGTAAACATCGGCTCAAATGTAGAAGCCCACAGCATGTCAATGCCATTCAGTTCAAGCCGTTGTTTCGACCCAATCCTCACGTCTTTCACCCGCGTTGGCAAGTTCCCTCACTTGCTTCCTTCATCAAATGAGCAGGGAACACACCCCTCTACTCCCCGCGACACAGGCACACCTTCGAGCGCAAGCACGCAAGCGTAACCGCACCCACAAGCACACGTACCCGCACATGGATGCGTCCTCAGTCACACACGGATACGCACACTCTTGTGCTGTCACGCACACAGACTACCACGCACACTCACGCGCACATGCCCACAGACAGCCGATAAACGCACACACACGGACAAACGCATTCGCACACACAATCAAGCGCAAGCGCAGACAGCAACACACGCTCGCACACGAATAGGGAGGCGCGCGCGCGCACGCACAGCGGCACAGGTCTTGGTATACTCGCATGGGCAACCCTCGTCCCCTCCCTTCTCGCACCCAGCACACGCATAGACACTCTGGATCCGTCTACCTCGTTTATGACACCCTGGTTATCTCGCCTACATACACACTCTTTTTCATTTCTTGCTTCGGACCAGCTCTGGATCTATGCGTCTCATCCTCGCCCAGGGACCATGATGCTCTTCTCTCATCGTTTCAATTGTAACAGATGTCCTGAAAGAGAACATTCTAAATCGGCTTCTCTTTCCTAATATGACACACACGCTTCCGCAGAGCGCACTACCGCAGAGCACACTACCTACCTGACGCGTGCGTGCCCTGGGTGCAGATGTCCGTTCGTTCATCCTAGACAGTTGATCGTCCGCCACCCATCAATCATAATCCTAATAGATACTGCAACCCCACTCTACGCCGGCAAACTCACCTAGAGAGAAGCTCAGTCAGTGGAAACTTTGTTTCCCTGAACTGCTGACGAGCTCCATCAGCCTCCATGTCTTTCCCCGTCAGCCACTCCCCTTGCTTTGCCTTGTCTATTCACGGATTCCACGCCTCGCTGCATCAGCCGCTCGCTCCTTCCGTCTGGAGAGGTAAGACACAGTACCGCTGCTACTCCCGCCAGAGTGATGAAGCCCTCGCTCTCATCTCCACACGATGTGTTTCCCTTCCCGCCCGCCCTCCCTTCCCCGGTACCAGACTGCAACACTGAGGAGTGGCCTTCAAGTTCCTCCAGACAGAATCATTCTGCGCCAGACGATGTCACTGCAGCTGCGGATTCGATCGCCCGCGCGAGTTGCGACTGGAGATCCTGCGTCTGCATCAGTCGAGAAAAAAAAGAAAAAAGAAAAAAAAAGAAGCGTCATGGGAAAAAAAAAAAAAAAAAAAAAAAAAAGCCTCAAGAGATAGCGGGCGTAGACAGTGGATTTGGAAGGCAAAACTCGGACCTTGCCCCAGGGGACGCTCTTGCATGGACTGGACTTCACCCGGTAAAAGTCTGACCCCATGCACTTTTCTGCTTTTTTTCTTTTCCCTTATACTTTTTGGGATAACTTGCAAAATACCCCCATAGGTTGAAATATATGCAAAAATGCCCCTAAAGGATGTGGGTAGACCGGAATGCCCCGCTGACAGAAAAACCTCTGAAACACCGCTGGCGCAGGTTGGACCCCACATCTTCGCAATCTACCCCTACCCGGTACCATTGAAGTTTTATTTCCATGGCCTGCTTGATGTTCGAAATGCCCCTAGCAGCCTGCACCAGTTTTCTTTTCGGCCCTCTTGCTGTTGGAGAGGCAATCGTCTCTCTCTCTCTCTCTCTCTCTCTCTCTCTCTCTCTCTCTCTCTCTCTCTCTCACACACACACAC